CAGTGAGCTACGACAAACAAGTCAGACAGAACAGAATGGACGGAAACACACGACAAGTTATGCAAAGAACTTCACTGCTGCCATAACTGAATGAGGTGCTGCGATGTGATTCTCGTTACGCATTACGCGACAATCGTGAGAGCGATGACCTGAGGCTTGGCAGTTGGAAGGAGGAGGAGGAGGAGGAGGAGGCACTAAGTTGGGCTGCGTGCACGCATTGTGGGAGGATAAGAAATGATTAGGTCTTGGCCCAACCCGAAGTCCAGTCCACGTCCACATGCAACATGCATAACATGTTCTTGCGGGAGGGAAGCAGCATGCCTCCACCCAGACAGGCATTAAAGCCTGCAAGTGGTAGCACCAATGACGAACTACTCCTCAATCGCGGCTGATGTGCAGGGTAATATGTCATATCCAACTCTTGCGACCGCAACGCGTTTATACGCATCTGCAAGACTACCACCTTGCTCTTATCTTGTGAGCTCACCTCCCCACCACACAACAGCCGCCCTACTACCCTCCCTCTCTGAATGTGAGCACTCAGTCGTAGCGTCCCGAGACATCGCACAAGGTGGAAGAAGCCAGTGAGTGGTGTTGAATGCATGTATTGTGAAGGGAGCAGAGCAAATGGACCTGAGATTGGCCCGAAAGCCAGCCTACGTGTACAAGAGGCAGAAAAACCAAGCAGTCACATAAACAAAACATCATATCAGCCATGCACGATGTCTGATTCAGCACAACCACTGCTGCAACGTTCCTCTTCTACTTATCTCCGCCTCCTAAACAGTGATCACACATATGCTGCTTATTGTAGCTATTGTCGCCCTCTTCTTCTGTCAAGAAATACAATTCGGTAGTTTTTCTCCAGACGACTGCAATGATGGCGGTGCCTATATCGGTTGACAGATAGTACGCTCCATGTAATGCAAAATCCACATTTGAACATTGCGTTTGTAGCCATGTCTGTGACTCAACATCAATTGGAAGGAAATAGAATACTCTGCATCAGTTTGGCATTGTGCATTGGTTTTTGCAAGCGACTTTTACCTTGACACTTTTGTTTGGATTGATTTAATAAATATCCGACAGTTCAGATAGGGTGAGTGGGCCAATAGACAGTGGAGAAGGTGGTGATTGGCTTGGTGCGTGCAAGTTGTCACAGGCGCATATTGTCAAATCCCGAGTGGAGATGGCGCCTTCGTCAGGAATGTGCGAGAAGAAGTCGCCTCGTCTGATTGACTACATTGTGTTTGTTGGGCAGAAGAATCCAAGTCGCAACGGCGTTGCCATTTCTCAGCCCGAGTTGCTGCGCGTGTATCCTCCTCAGAACCACGTTGACTTTGCTCTTCCAAGCGACATAGTATATTTTTGCCAACCCGAAGGCTGCTACAGCACGT